AAAAAAAAAAAAAAAAAAAAAAAAAAGACATCTTGTGACTGAAGCTGCTCTCTCAACCGCCAGGGATGAGAATGAGACGCTGCTGGGAGGCGGACTCACCCTCATCTGCCCGCTGCCGTCTCCATCGCATCGTGCTCCTAGCAGAATCTAACTGAATTCAGACGCTGGCGTGCTCTGACCACGAATGCGCTCCTTTAAAGGTCCCACCACGTGTGTTACGTTCTCGCGTTCACCACGAATCGGAAACACGAGGAAACGTGGGCAAATCTAGACCTGAACGAGATTAGGACATATTCTTCTAAAATTCACCAAGCTGAAAGAAGCCATGTAGAAACAACAAAACCACACAAGGAAACAGACTATCGGGGGGAAGCAACCACGCAGCGTTCCTCCAGGACTAGGACTCTGGAACGCTAGCCTCCTTTTACTATCCTTTTATGGCAAACCGTGAGACTTCTACCCCGGTTTCGGCATTTTCCTCTCCCTTCCTTGGGACTACGCACAAGGGAAAATGAGCCAGCCCACCCAGAAGACGGTAAAGATAGTTCTTGAACACGCAATCAAGACAGGAATCTACGGTTCTTCTCCAGCTACATCAGCGAGCCCGTGGAAGCGGGCTTATAAATCTGAGGGCCGAGACCCTCCACCATTCTGCGTCCGCGCCGAGCGCCTGATGTACTCACAACCACCGGCTCCTCCACAATAATTAATCCTAGCTTTGCAGAGCTGCATTTCCGCATGGCTTTGTCAGCTGATACAGCTAAAATGAAAAGAAACGTGACAGCAAAGGAGCTAAGAATAGGTCTATCCAGGAGAAAGTGAGATCTCTCGCTTCTAAGCATAAATCTATCCCCGACTCCCCTTGGGACTTAAAAGGAGAGCAGGGGTGGAGTCAGACTGGGAGAGGGGAAGGAGCTGCTGTCAGTTGAGACGGGTGCTATCAGGCCTTACATGCCTTCCCTTGACTGGATGCAAGAATAATTTCATAGGAGACAGGGACTCGGGGGAGGGGCGCAGGGGAATGCTTTTTATGACAAGGCTAGTGCATTTTCAATTACAGAATTGCCATCAATTCTAAACCGAGGTTTACCCGAAACCCACAACGCTCCACAAAAACAGGAGACTCGGCTTCTCCTCCGAGATCTCGGCAGATGGCAGGACTATCCTTTACGCACTTCATTACAACAAGAAAACACAAAAGCCCTAACACGCCCCCGGGGCCAGAACAAGTCTCCCATTCTGTAGTCTTCGGAAAGCGCACGTGGACTACACGGAGAAGACTGTAGTCAACCTGAGGCTGACTTCACCCAATTGCGCTGAACTTTTAGAAGAAGACTGGAGGAGTATTGTGTTAAAAGGAAAAATTCAGTTGTAGTCAGAGCTTTCATACCGTTAAGTCGCCGCTCTCTTCTCATTTGGCAGCCCCCTAGATCGCTTGAAAACACAATTTCTCAGGGCACGCAACGAAAACGAACCAGTCTCGCAGTACGTTAGCAAAGTTAGACCGAGACTAAAACCATCTTACTACTTCTTCTTCTGGTACAGTCTTCTGACACCACAGGCTGTAACGTGAAAGTTCTCACGTAAGTCAGCAAAGAGTTCCTTAGCAGAACGCATCTTGCAAAAACTCAGTACTGAAGCGCTAGCTAAAAGACAAAATGCTAATTTTCAGTTGTTTTATCACCTGACATAGCGATACCTCAAAAACTGCATCATAAAGGACAGTTGCGAGTCTAGGTGAAATGTTGCAACGTTTCAATACGGATCGCAAAGTTTAGATGCGACTTAAATCGTTACAGAAATAGTTACCTTGAACAACAGCTACGTATCTCTGTGGCTTTGCAAGCGTTACTTGGATTCAGCGCCCATACTAAGTCTTCCACCTCCATCCCCGTTTGAAGTCTGTGCCATCTCTTCTGCATGTCTGAAGGAATTTCCGTGTCTTAATTCCAAGGCTCAAGGAGGAAACACTAGCAAAAAGATCATTGTTATCTCTTTCCCAGTTTGACACGATCGGTCACTTTATCCTTTTTTACGAGGACTGAGGGGTTGAGTGCTGGAATTCTGGGGCTCAAAAGCAACGTATTGGCAGGAACGGGATGCCTGAGGGGTGGGAGAAGAATAGGGTCTGAGATGGAGTATTTTCCCCAGTTAAACAGATGTAAGCAGCTCCTGATCTTACCCAGAATCCCACGTAAGACACAGCCCCCCAGGAAAACCACCGGGCCCCGCTTTAGAGAAGAACTTACGGACCCAGCAACTCACTGCAGCAATGCCGCTTTCTAAGTAGATGTGCTCCAGATGAGAAGCGACCGCAGCAGAAACTGAAGCGTGGCCCTCCAGGGGCCTCTGTGCCATTTTAGTCGTCAGCTAATCTTCACCTTACACGAGTTCTAAATTCTGGAATTTAGAAATTCGGGTCATTTTGTGAGAATCTGAGGAATTCGGTGCGTGACAGAAGAGCGCACCGTATCAGATGCGGATGCCTGCTGACACTTGACCACCACGACCGTGGCATTCTGGCAAAGAGGGGCAGGACGGAGAGGGTACGGTTCTATGGGGGGGAAGCCCTTTGCAAACATTCTCGCCTCTCTTTAGTCCTTTGCCGTGTCCTCCCTCCAAAGAGGGAAGGCCTCTGCCTGTGTGTGCTCCATCACAGAGAACAGCCCTCGACTTTCCCATCGGGTCTTGAAAAGAGAAGAAGCAGTTGATGCGGTTTGCCCTACACAAGCCACTGTACTGAGCCAACAGCAGGCGGGCCGTTAAGCATCACTCGTGACAGCGGATCCCTTCAATATGATATGCGTCATATCAGAACGAACTTACTTTCAGTCACGAGAGAAAGAGCTGGCTTTGACGGCTCAACGCCAGCAGGATCTGCAGGGTTTCAGCTTCTGTACAATAAATCAGCCGAGCACCTCCTGACGCTCAGAAGTTTTCCACAGCAAAAAGGACCGCTTTTTCAGGATGTGAGTCTCGGGTTCAACACCGCCCCTGGCTATTTGCACGACCAGCAGAAGGCGGGGAGGAAGAGGGAGGAAGGAATGGAGGCAGGCAGCGGGAAAAACTTAAGCAGCTGACACGTTAAACACCAGATCGAGTTTCTTGCATGTTACCCAGTGGAACTGTCAAGAGCATAATCTTACAGTACATAATCTAGTCGCATTTCGTTCCAGACAGAAGATTCAGCTGCAACAACCTGTAGCAGGTAGTCCCACAGCCACCTTATACAGCATCGCACTCTCATTCTTTTTGTACCTCGTCCGGTAAGATCAAGAACATAACCTGGTTAGTACTCGCTAGGCTACTACTCGTAATCAATCTTACCTTCTCTCAGAGGAGTCAGGCTCACACTCTGGACTCCTCCTGCCCTCGGTATACTGAAGGGACTGTTTTCTAACCCCCCTGGAGTACGATAAAGGTTTCTCGTTCCAAGTAACTAGTACAAGAAATGGGATGACAACACAACGACACCCGAAAACTTCTTATGAACACCTTATCATTCTCTCAGTCATCAACAACTAAGCGCAGGCAATTGACGACATTAAAGGAAATGAGAAAACAAAAATCAACAGCAAAGGAATGGCCGAATTCACAAAAGCAGGCACAACTTATGTTTTCTTGGTTCACTCGATCTTTACCTCTGCATCCAGCAGATCAGCCGCACCTTTGGGGAAAGACTCATTTTTCCACAAACCTCTGGGGAACAGAGCACTCGACCTCTTGAAAACCCGTCAGAGGATAAGTTCATCTTAAAACCAGCGAACAACTGTGAGTACTCCATCCTTTAACACCATCAGAGCCTGGACAGGGATACAAACATCCGCTCCCATTTTCTAATGCTAGCCAGCTAGAACTAAGGCAGCAAAGAGGGACCGGGTGCTGCTACGCTTCTGTTAAAAAGGACGATTTCGCTTACTGCAAGTTATCAACAAAGGAAAAACTATGCAAACCTTTCCATTTCAGTCTACCATTCGATGAGTCGATTTAACAAGGCAAAGGAGGAGGTGAGAAGTCATGCCATGCATAGAGCAGACAGAACTTCAGGAGGGAAAGCAAAGGACTGAACGCAATGGAAAAAGGGCGGGGGGGGGGAGTTCTTTCTTCAAAAGGAAAACAATAAAAACTAGCTGGGGAGCATCAATGAGACAGGCCCAAGGAATCAAATCCGTCCAAAACCGTGGCAATAAGTAACACCCTGCTTTAGTAGCAGCGTATCTGACGCACCTCAAAACAGGAAGACGCAACATACATAAGACAAGCAGTAAGACTGGTAACATTTGGAACAAGTCAATTCCCTGATCCATCTGTAAAAGGCAGAAGATATAATTCAGCAGGTAAAAACATCAGCCGGGTAACAAGGGTCCGCAATCCTACACAGACAGCCCATCTGCATTCAGACCTGCACAATACTTGCAGAGGCTGATTCCACGTATTTCTTACGAGAACAAAACTTACCTTGAGACACGCTGCTCTTCCCAGTAGTAACGCTCGACCATGTCACCTCATAGAAGTGACAGACAAAGTCTCCCAGAAATCTCACCGTTCCCACACAGCCAACACGGGGGGTACCGGGATCAGGTAGCACCAGCTATGGCTTTCTTTACAAAACCTGTAACAATCTGTGCTCGAAAACCACATTGCCTGGTCTTAGGTGACTTCATACACCCTTTCAAAAGGAGCGGTAGACATCATTATTTTTAAATACTCTCCGCCCTATGATGCTCGACGACAGTAAAACAAAAACATTTCCGAGGCTGGAAGAGGAACGCAAAAGTGGCTCGTTACGTGCAAATATCCTTTTCTAGTCATTTTATACTTCCTAATGCCAGGAGGCACCCGTCATCTGAAAGCAGTCACAGCCCTTGATCTGCACTTTGCAGGAGATCATTTGATTAAATTCTTTCAGAAAGGGTTCTGCTCTGCGATGATGAAGGACTACCAAACCTCAAGAACACCACGTTTGACCTACACAATTAAGATTTGATCTGTCTTGTCCGGTTACTTTCAAATGCAACTGCTTAACAAGCCTTATTAACCCTTCTGCTCTCAAGATGCCAGACAACGCTATCTACGTTAAGCAGGAAAAGTAAAGGCCAAAACTG